CACACACACACACACACACACACACACACACTGTTGGTCCAGCACAGTGCCCATGGAAGTGGGACGTGGTCCCGTTCTGTTCTCCAGCTAATGAACCTCTGCTGAAAACAAGACAAAACTTCAGCCATTTTATCTGTCATTAAAGATGGAGGAAAATCCAGCTCGGTAGCCATTCGGTATAGGTAAATAGGTATACAAGAGCAGGCTAATAACATTTGAATAAAAACTACAGAGACAATAAAGATCCAACAATAGCAGCTCCAAAGGTGACCATGTAGTGTTCAACCCTGAGAGATGTAGTGCAGTAGTTCTTGTTGTTGTGAATGAAAGCCAAGTATTATTATCTCAGCAAAGGCGGAACTTTTTGATACAGCTCAGGTATTCGATCTCTGTACCGAATGAATAAAACATGCAGTGTAGTCGGTGGAAATGAATCGGTACGCAATTCACCTTTGTGGCTGTTGCGCTCCTTTCTGCAGCCAAGCGTTAATAGCTATCCATTTTTCGAGTGAGGAAAAGGGGGAGTTTTACTTCTGAGACAGATCTAGTGTCAAGGGAGCCTTCTCCCTCTCTGCATCTTGCGCTCTCATTTTATCTTGTTGGGAGGTGGTGAAGGTCAGCGCAATCACCATTTTGAGCAGCTACACAGAGTGCAGACTCGTGCATGAGCAGGCAACTTTGCTTATCCGCAAAATAACTGGTCAGCATTCAAAGGGACGGTCAGCATTCAATAGTACAAACAGTTACTTCCATTTAGCGCTGTTACATGTCGAATTGCCATTACAACTGACTGGCCAATAGAATAGATTTGTGAAAACATTTTTTTAGACATTTCCAATCGACTTTGATACTCTTTCAAAGTATAGAATTGTAGTTTTATAATGACTCATTAATGCATTTTTTTAATGACAAATAACACACGTCCATCATGAACACAATACTGGAGTTTTCCTATGATGTAGTCGAATTTTTGCCCCACCAATTTAAAGATTCAGAGTGCGCAATATTCAGTGTAGCCAAGAGAAGAGAATTAATTCCGATGAAAGGCCAACTCACCGAGGCCTCCAATGGTGTGTGAGTGATCCGAGGCACGCAGCTGAAGTGGGGCGCTCTCAGACTGGCTCTCCTCGTGGTAAAAGAGTTTGTAGCCTTGTACGCTGGCCAAATTTCTCTGCGCCAGCCGCCAGCGCACCAAAATTGTGGTGCAGTTCAAGGGCTCCAAATGCAGCTCAGGAGAAAGAGGAACTGTGGATGGCATTCATCAACATCATCATCAGAAGGATTGCGTCATGTTGCACAAAAAGTCAGATGGAAAGCTGTTTAAACATGTATTTGAAATCCAGCTTCAGGTGCATGTAATAGTGCGCTATTTGTCTTTAATCGTCACACAATTCCGCACGCTAGTAGGACGACAAGGATACGCCAGCAGAACGAAAATGTCTTTCTCATGCTGTACTGTTAACTAGTAGAATTGCTTAATGTCACTACTCATGAGTCGTGTTAGTGGGACACAGTTGTCAACTAGTGCACGATTTTACCTCAGCAGTAATATGTAGTTGTCCGACTAGTATTCCACAGAGCTTACTAGTCCATGGACCTTGAGCTGGACATCAAGGATATCAAAATAAATGGCTTCATCATCTCCATATACTGGTGCACCTTTTTTATCTTCACTAGACAAACTTACTGTGCCTTACTAGTAACATTGTTTTCCACTACTGCCTGATATTTCTGCATATTACTATTTGGCCTAAAACTACAAGTTACTCATGAATCAAAACTCCCAGTGGTTACCTTTGGTAAGTAGGGTCTGTATTGCCACCATTGCGTGACACACGGCTACTAGTTAGGTCTATTCTTGTTACTAGTAGAGTATAGAAGTTTCTGTGTAAGGTGTAATTGCATACTAGGAGGCCTTAAGTGGCACTCATCGTGAAAAATAATCTATTAAAAGATGCAGTTGTTCTACTACTGCCCTGAATTGTCTTACCAGCAACACCAAAGAACATATTAGTACATGGACCTTAAGATCACTATTAGGTAAATTCTCAAATGGCTTTCCATGCTGTCAAACCACAACAACTTTTTCTTGGCAGGAAGCTACAGTCTCTGCAGGAAGCTGTTTCTAGTCAGAGGAGTTGTCTTTGAAAAGGGAAACTCATTTGATGTTTACCAGCTGCTCCACACTTAATCCACAGCAGGCACGACCTCCCTGACGACAGAGGGAGCGATTTCACACATTCTCATTTTCGGAATGATGACTGTTAGCAGACACCTGAATTTCAACAGAAGACACACGGCAAAAAGAATCCCACAAACACCCCCCTATTTTCCTACCACCTCAAAGCTCCTCAATGGCCATCTACTCTTTCCCACCCGGAGGGCTGAGTGGCTCCCTTTATGACCCATGACTGAAACCCTTCCAATGTTACTGACAGCGCAGGGCAAAGGTCAGCCAGTAACAAACGCAATGCCTTAACAAGATTATTGGCAAACTTCTCTAAGCAGTTCGACAGAACCCAGGAATTTAGCGTTGCTTTAAATACAGTGGTGCCTTCGCCATCAGTGTGCAATATAATTCAAACATAGATCAAACACACTTAGATTTGATGGTTTAACACAAAGCAGATCGTTACAACTAAGATGCGGTAATGTTAGTAGTATGTCTGTGAGTAATGTTTTTTTTTGTCTGTCCATGTGTATGTGTACAAATTATTTTTGTATTCTTGAGAGAAAAATGTGAAAAGGAAAGAAAAAACATGTCTGTTGCTTAAAAGGTATAAACAACTGCAACATTGATGCTTGTTTCATTAGGCTATCTATGGGGATTTTCAATGCGTGTTAGCATGGCACGGTGCAGCGTAACCCAGCTGTCTTTGGGCAGTCGGCGGGGCACAGCCTGAACTGGTTGCCAGCCAATCGCAGGGCACACAGAGACGAACAATCATCCACGCTCACACTCACACCTAGGGACAATTTAGAGTGCTCAATCAGCCTGGCATGCATGTTTTTGGAATGTGGGAGGAAACGGGAGTACTCGGAGAAAACCCACACAGGCATCGGGAGAACACGCAAACTCCACACAAGAAGGCTGCATCTGGAATCGAACCTTGCACCTCTGCACTGTGAGGCCGACGCGCTTACCAGTCGACCATCGGGCCACTCTCTATGAAACCATTGTTGGAAAAAAAAAAATATTTTAGCCAATCGCAGGGCACACAGAGACGAACAATCATCCACGCTCACACTCACACCTAGGGACAATTTAGAGTGCTCAATCAGCCTGGCATGCATGTTTTTGGAATGTGGGAGGAAACGGGAGTACTCGGAGAAAACCCACACAGGCATCGGGAGAACACGCAAACTCCACACAAGAAGGCTGCATCTGGAATCGAACCTTGCACCTCTGCACTGTGAGGCCGACGCGCTTACCAGTCGACCATCGGGCCACTCTCTATGAAACCATTGTTGGAAAAAAAAAAATATTTTGGCAAAATTCCGACACACGAACACACACACACAAAACCACTGCCACCATATAGTTGGTGAGGTGCCTGAAACTCATTTAAAAGTTAAAAAGTTTGCAACACAAGCCCCACCCCCACCCTCCCAAATCGCCCAAGTTACTGATGGCTAACTCGAAAAACTCAAATTGTGTTGGGGCACTTTTAAGTCAAGGTACCACTTTACTTGGTGCCGTAAATGCGATTAAAACATGCCTGGGAGTATTTAAATAAGCATTTTTATGTCACATATTTCAAATATGGTGGTCTGCAACGTAACCCCCGCAGTGGAGGGGGGATTATTGTTAATCCATTTAAAAAAAAAAAAAATTGTTGTGATTTTTAAAGCCATAGAGACCCGAGCGAATGTTTACCTTGAGCACTGGATGCCTTTGGGGTGCGGTGGGAGGTCCAGGCTGACTGCTCACCCCACCCAACACTGGTGGCCGCAGCAATTCGCAGGAGATAGATGGTATCAGGCTGCAATTTTTCAAGGAGGTACTGTGTCTTTTCTCCAAGCAGCTCAATCTGAGAGGCTGAGCTCTCAGCGCTGGTTCGGTACGACAAACGGTAGGCAGAGACTCTGCCGCGGCTCAGCTTGTCAGGGAGGGGCTGCCACGACACCTGGATGTCGGTAGGGCTGCGGCTAGTGAGGCTGAGCTCGGGCGCGCGGAGAGGAACTGGAAACCGACAAGACGGGAGGGATTACGTTTTCCTTGACAATTGTGAAATTTCAATGAACTCAAATGGAATTTTCCATATAGAAACATAGACTGGATGATTGTTCTGTTGGTGTGGACATGGCCTCAAAGTAACTTGGTGAAGAGCACAAGTAGTCATTAACATGCAGGCTAAGGAATCAAATGAGGTTCTCCAAGAATCCAGGAAAGTAAGACATTAACACTAACACAGTAATAAATGAGCTTGTGTACGCAATCAGAGACAAACAGCAACACAGGCAGAGGGATATTTGACCCTGCCTTTCTGTCAATAACAACAACAATACTCATTAACTGCCCTAAAACATCTTGTAAAACAAACACGAGAGTCAACCAGCATCCCAGTTCGTCGACATATAACTTGTTTGAATTTTTTAAGGGTGTGATTGTTAAATTCCTCACCATCCTCGAGCGTGTGCTGAAACATGTGGTCAGACATGCGACTGGCTCCCATGGGCATGTAGGCCACCACATAGAAAGTGTAGTTGCGAGCTGGCTCCAAGTCATCAATAATATAGCGAGTTGTATCATTTCCGATAACAACTTGGTACTCCTCATTGTTTAACCCTGCACAAATGAGAACATTTAAAATGACTTAATTGTCAAGTGTCTATTTTTCACAACATGATTAACAAATCATCACTGTGTTACATTGACCACTGAACAGGTAATACAGAAAAATCGTGTTCTATACATCCACCATCCACTTAACAGTTTAAAACAATAAAATTCCCCAATTTTTCTAAAGATTTTTTTTTTGGGTCCCTACCAGGGTTATTTTAGTTTGGGATTTTTCATTATAGTTTTCATTCTGTTTCCACATTTCTTTTTAAAAATTTTAAATTACTTGTTGTCTTTACCACATTTACATTACGACATCGTAATTTGTCCGCTAATTTTGTTAATTTAAATCATAATGCATCAAACAGCCGAAGCATGTGTGTTTGGTGACAAAACTGGTTTGATTTCAGATCTGGTAAAGTAACTACTTTAAAGGTTTTCTCGTTCCTCTGAATACCGCTTTCAAGCATTCCTGAAAAGAGGAACAAAGTCTGCTTTCCTTTCTAATTCACACGCTCTGACTAGCTTCCCAGGATATGTAGTTTTGGACACTCCACCACACAGGCTAATTAGTTTCTTCTTGACAGAGACTCTATTTAGTGCTAGCACTTGCAGCCTCAGGTGCAGGGCGGACTGTGTGCTGCACTGACAGCAATTCTCACAGCCTGTGGATATGTCACTGCATCTAAATCACAATGACAGAAGCCTGCAGTTCAACAATAACCATTTCTTTTTTTTTTTTTTTTTTTTTACTTATTCATCTCTTACAAGATCCAGCAGGTGTTCCTTTTTCCCAGTTGCATTCTGTACATTTCGCTGCACTAATTGAAGTCAGCGGAATTATAATGAAGTGCGGCACTTGTTGATTTTTCTTTTTCTATCGGTGCAACATTGTTCTACTGTGACTCTTCTTGTCACTAGCAAGAGTTCCCAGGAAGACTGAAAGTAATTTCTGCCGCCACACTGAAATCCTTGTGAGTTTTTGAATAGCTTCCTCTGTTGCTTGAATGTTATCGGCAAAAAGAAGGGCCCCAGGTTCTTGAAACTTCACTGCACTCTTGCTCTTAAAGGGGTCTAATCCTGTTTGTCAAGATAAGGAGGTTTTTCCTCTTTTTTAGCTTTTCTTTGTCTGACCTTTGCCTGCCAAGCATAACAACAACTGCATTTGGTCAGCTACCTCAGCATTTCAAAGATATACAATAAGAGGCAGAATTTAAAGGTAGTTTGCCAACATACTTCTGTATTAAAATGGTATAAATGTGACATAACAATGAGATTAATTCAGCATTTTTTTATTTCAATAAGAGATTAATTCATCAATAAATCACTGATTGGACTGACCCCACCGCCTGCCCACACATACATTAATCAAAATTATAAAGACTTTTTCCCCCCCTCCCATTTTACATACTGTTAGGTGAATGGATGGACTCGGCAAAGGAGAGGTGCGCTCTAACACATTTAGAACAATGTTTCAATGAAATAGGCCCTTTGCGTACACAGAGCATGTCCACTCATTTAAAAAGGGAGCAAAAATTATAATCTGAGAAAAAATATAAAAGCAACACATATTGAACATTTTGGGAAATGGTTATATAAAGCACACTTCTGTTCCCAGTGCACATCGGTAAATGATCAATGTCACATGTTCTCATGCATTTCTTCACTCACCTTCAGCCTTCATGTAGTGCACAGAATAAGCGATAACTTTATCGGAGTTATAGAGCGGCCTGTCCCAAGCCAGCAAGATGGCGGAACTCGACACGGTGTCCGCTCTGATATTTCTCGGCGCGCTAGGGCGGTCCTCTGACATGACCACGATGAGCCTTGCCATGGCGAGCACAGAGCCCTGCTCGTTTTCAGCCTGGCACTGATAGATGGCATCGTCCTCAGGAATGATCTGGTTAATGACCAGTTTGCTGTAACGCACACACACACACACACACACACACACACACACACACACACACACACACACACACACACACACACACACACACACACACACAACTTTATCATCATGTGGATCCTTTCCAATTGCCAAATTGCCTTTAACGAGGACTCATAATTAAAAGAGCAAGAAATTCAAGAGAAACTAAGCTGAGCCCGTTGTTTTGATGTAAATTATAAAGTTTCCTTCATGATGTAAGGACATAAGTTAATTATTCACTGTTTTTAGTAAAACCAAGAGTGGTAAAAAGAAAAAGAAAATTCCAAATTAAAAACGGGACATTTCTGAGTGGAAAAAAAGCAAATGACCCCTGCTGTCCTGAGTTGAAACTATGACAAAAATGTGATGCAGTTGTTTTTTTTTTTTTTGAGGGTTGGTTTCAATTTATGAGAAAGAAAAGAAAAATCAAAATCAATCCAACAGAACTTGTGGGTAAGCAAGAAAAATCAAGTGGATGCCGTGAATAACTGTACAGTGAGAACTGGAAGACTGCCTCTTGGTGTTGTGGCCACTTCCTAAGGGACAGACTGGGAACAGAACTTCCATCACCTGGTTTGTGGAGACATCCTTTTCTCACAGTTAGGGTTGGGTGGTACTCAAATTTTGACACCGGTTCAACATCTATTCAGTACACCGGCGAATACTGTAATACCAGCACCGATTTTGGAGTTATTTTGTAGCTTGCACCGACCACCGCAAGTCTGTCTAGTTAATGGTCACAGAGTATTTCTATCTCTCGCCGTTACTGTCTTGATGCAGATTTTGGACACCGCCCTCAACTGCATTTGCTGACTCGTTATGAGGCCGGAAGCCAAAATGAAGCAGTTGCATTTTGGGTGTGGG